CTGATCCGTGCTGGTTGCTGAGGAAATACTACAACTTTGCGCTGTGGATCGTCGGATCGGCTTTCACCGCGGACAAAGCGGAGTCCAGCCCGGGGTCGTCACATGTGGTTGCCGCAAGCCCGCCGGCCGCTTTGTCGAATCCGCCGGCCGCGCCGTGTGTGACGCTGTGTGACGTATTTTATGGAGGACTGTTTCCTGAACCTGCAGAGTAGCCTACAATGGGTCTGTGCTCAAAGGCTGTTGTAGCGCTTGTTGTTTGTCATTTCTCCGATCACAAATGCAGACATGGTTTTATGTTTACATGGCACGATAAGCAACGCAACGCGTAAAAACACAGTATAAGTTATTATAATCAGTAATTATGTCCCCACTGGATGCAACAAATGCCTCGTTTGTAATTGGGTTTTATTGGTTTTGTCTCGTCGTGCCGGCATCACAGTATGTTAAGGGGCATAACATTTCTGTCACACGCTTGAGGTATTCAGCAAATCACAACCCACTGGATAGCTGGCCAATCAGCGTACACCTCGCTTTTCAGAACGATGAGCTTTGTAAAAATTGAAGCGTTTCAGAAAGGCGGGGCATACACTGAAAAAATGTTTTTATTCATCCAATTAAAATCCAATCCAATTTGCCCTAAGGGCAAGTTATTTATTTTTCATTGGCTCCCGTTAAAAAATATAGTTGTGAATCATTACCCTACATTTTTTTAATTGGATGAATGAAACATTTTTTTTCAGTGTAGAGGAGCAACAATAATGTACATTATGTGGAAAATAATGTGTTTTTTGAACTTTAAACCACATAAACACATTGCATTACACCAAATACACAAAATAATGTTATTTTTAGCAACGTCATATGACCCCTTTAATGGTTACAGCCCCAATACAAACATACAATTCCTCATTCATGTTTCAAAATATACATTCAATACAATAAAACAATCCGCACTTCCATTATATACATATGAATCAGAATCTCAAAAATGGAAAAATCGTGTCTCTCACCTGTTGATTTGGACAGAAGTGGGTTTGTCTCCTCTTGTAGCTGCTTTTTTGGCCCTTCAGGCCCCTCCGGAGGTAAAATAGTCTCCGAGGACATGAGCCAGATGTTTAGATACTAAACACACCCAAAAACAACAATCCCCCACGCAATCAGCCCTCAAACCTGTAAGAAAACAACAAACTATGGTAATATCAATCGCCGATTCACTGCGTTACAGTAAACAAACTCAACTCCAATATCTTTCTTATGGAGTGAGTGACGTCATACGGCGAAATGTCGTTAAAGTTAGTGGAAAGTTTTGCTTAGGATTTTTTCTCCACAAACGAAACTCAAAATGTCACAAACACACTCCTAAACATCCTAGCAACTTCTTAAGTCTATATTATTTGTTTGCCAAATATGTAACTAATCATTTCGAAGTCTGCTGGTTACCTTTCAAACATGTTAACTCCCAAACGCCTTTATTCGCATCCTTTCTTCAGGCAAAACGAAGTCCCGTTAGAAAAAGTTTCCTTAATAGTCAGTTTAGGATCAAAACTCTGTAAAAACTATCAGATTCCTCACAAAAATAGTACAAAAATCCCTGTCAAGCAGACGCTGAATAATGAGTTCGTGCGCGAGACTCCCGCGCGCTACAGCAGCTGCTGCTGCAGAAACTTCGAGCTCAAACATTTTCATCACATCCGGATTCCGATGATCACAACCAGCTGCATTCAGAAGTTCGAGAACTGAGACTGTTTGTTAAATGATTTCGTCTGTCTTACAGACACGCAGGTTTGTTTACCTAGAGATATATCATATGAAGGAGGACTTCACATTGACTCGAGTTGTTCCCACTGACTAAAAATGTTGCCTACTTGTGAGCTTGATGCCTCTAAAAAGTTGTTGAAGTATTTATAAATAATAATCATTCAGACTTTTTGATTTCATGAGAACATTTTTACTTTTCTATTAAAATTATTACCAGCCTTGACAATTGCAAATAAATAAATAAACAAACAAATTAGGCTGCTTATTAATATAAATATAAATATTAACACTGTCTCTTTAATAACCCTATATAATATACACTATCTATCTATCTATCTATCTATCTATCTATCTATCTCTGCTGGTGGCTAAGCAAGGCAGTTAACCAGGAGTTAAGAGTTAGGAGTTTTCCATAATGGTGAGAACAACAGATTTCTATTGCGATTACATCAGTGCTAACTCAGTGTCTTTAAACCCTTTAAATTCTCAGCTGTCTTAAATCTGCACGCATACATACACAAAGAGCCCTCAACTGATTCAGTCCATTCTCGTGATGGCCTTGCTGGTGGATAAAGCGTATGAGCATGGAAGTGATTGATGTGATATATGCCCTCTTCATTGACTGGGTGAACTCCATTTTCTGCTCCTAATACAGAAATCACTCCAGGTCTGTGGCATAATGATTTACGATGAATCTGTGTCAATGTTGAACTCACAAACCCCACCTAATCCATCTTGCAGAGACCCTCCTCGCTGCGGAGAAATGCTGCATTCTCCATTTATAAGTGTTGAATCTATTACCCCACTGATTGGTAATAACTTTCGGCCTTTGCGCCCCCTTAGACAGTAATTACTCAGATACTGATGCTCTTTGAGACCCGGCACCAAAGGTAAAGCTCAGCATCAGCAGGGCTTAGCTGACCCACCTTGCTTTCAAAGTTATCACTTTCAAAGTTACAAGTATATTTAAGGAATAGTTCACCAGAAAATGAAAATTCCATATCATTGCTTTGTGTAAGAAACAGATGAAAATTAAATCATTATTCCCTAACATTCTTTCCCAAATCAAAGTGATATTGAAAAGGACATGAGTGTGAGTAAATAATGACAGAAATTTCTTTTTTGGGTCAATTATTGCTTTAATAAGTAGGAAAAAAAACTCTAGTGCCAAATTTTCAGTGTAAAAGTGGCACAGAATTGCTTCTGAAGTGGCATCTTAGTGTCTCTACAAAGAGAAGAGGTAGCATAAATGCATTTACACAATAATTACAGATATATAGTTTGATACTAGGGTCTAAGATGGGTCAGAGCAGGCATAATTAAGTCTGGCTTTTATATGGCATTATGTCTTTACACTGAATTTTGAGCATGCACAGCAGCCTTAACTTGGCTGTGTAAAGATGCCTTTCCTAAAAGCCAAAATCATACATTCCCATTTTAATATTTCATTGTGTTTCCGTTCACACGGGACAGCAGTTCTATGATTTCCTGTGTATTTCGCAGTGACACCGCCGACAAACATTTATCTTATGTTAAATCATGCGCTTCTGAGCCCGAATAAGGAACTGAAGTCACAGAGAGTGCGTGAAGCCGTCATGTTGTGTCACTGTTGTGTCAGCAAAGCATCTGTCAGAGTCACATTTCAGAAGAAAGGGGAAACGTCTCTATTGACTTCATCTGTTTGTGTGGCAGCATGCCTGATTGCTGAAACGCTGCCAAATCACCCTGGGTAATCCCACTCGACGGAGTCCCTCCGAACGCTGGGGTTCACAGTGCATGCATGCAGGAAAACCGCCTGTCACCACAACAACATCGCTGACAAAAAGCCACCTACCGTGATTTAGTAAATATTTGAGCTAAAGCAGCAAGAGTGGATGCATACATGGCAACACAGGAACAATCGGCGAAGAAAAAACAAACTAGAATCGAAAATGTGAGCATTTTTTTGGAAGCCACACTGACCCAATAGCCACTTAAAATTGTTCTTTGAGCGACTCTCGCACTGCTGAGTAATTAGCATATGAATAACAGAAAACGCAAAGATCCTACGAGTACAAGAAGTGATATGCACACGCTCAGAGATCTGCCTACTGCAGTAGCTGCGCTGTTTTGTGCGAGCTTGATGTAAGGAACCCACTTTGAAGTTGGCGATTTCCTCAACTTCTAGATTGGCTTTCCTGAGAAAACTGTGCCACTCAATTATACCTGTTATTCATCAAGGAGAACAAATTGCTCCAAGCAGGCAGGCAGGCAGGGAGGGTTACCTGTAGCTAACAAAAAGGCGCAGGAGGCCCCTTGCGGAGCGCCGCGGCTTGGCTCTCTGTGTTCTTACCATTTGGTTTTTGTTATGGAATTAAAATTTCACACCAAATGTGTAGAAGGAAATGTGGTGGAATAGGAAACCTGTAATTAGCGCTAATGAGCTTATTCTTGGGCTCTGTGATTGGAATACAAATGCGAGACTTACCGATTCTTTTCCCATCTCGACTTTAATGGCCAGCAAAAGAAATGTGTCACTTTGAACCAAGGCGCAGGCACAATGCACATCAGTAACTGATCAAATCTTCAAAGAAACCTCGCAGAAGTCTCAGCTGAATGAAAAGAAGTTAATAAGTCCTGCTTTGAAGCCAACAGAAAGCCCCCCTACTTCTCAAGCGGACCGTGAAAACTGGACGAACCCTGGCGACCTGGATGATTAATGGCGTTATTTTTGACCATTTTTTTTCATATTCGTACTCTTTAGGTCACTCTCTGATCAACACGCTAACGGCACTTGTCGTCCATTTTATCAGTAGGGAAATGTTGTTTCAGTCTTGCTAGGTCAAGGGACATTATCAGGGCAGCGCTGAGGTGGCACGGATAAATAAACTCATTAAAACAATAGGCCTCGTGATTAACGATGTGTAATTGCTTTGATAGAAACGAAAACAAACATCATTTATAGCACGGCGAGAGAGAGAGAGTCAGAGGCCGAGAACAGTGGGGTGGCTTGTATACGCTAAATGTACATCTGGAAGGAACTGTTCAACCACTAAAATATGCAGGTATAATCAGTAGCAAATGTCTGCACCGGCATGTTTTAAGTTCATAAATATGTATCTCTCAAATAAAAGGAATTTTGTTTGCTCTAGGCCTGCGAGTTGTTAGGTACTGTAACTAATAAAATACTTTAAAGTAAAAGGCCATCGCCCAGTGTCTGCTGCGAAGTGCAGACAGCAGGCCGGAGCGTGCAGTCGCGCAGACTTACACGTGAACAGCTGCAAAATCACTTGTGATCAAAGTACTGAGCCATATGCAGCCAATCTGACCTGGTTGACATTTCACTAACAACCTAAAATATATGTCAAATTATCCAGTCTGTCGCAATACCCCAGATCTGCTTTTAAGGATGTGGGTATTCATGTATATTGAAAGAGAGATCTTGGAAAAGAACATGGAGTGGAGAAGACTGCTTTCTGAAAAGTCAACAAGATATCAAAAACCATATTAACTTTCTTATTGCACATTTCTGGTCTTACCTTTCCAGATTTATCAGTACACATTATCCCATTTAACATTTGGCAGATACGTTTTTCCAAAGCATACTTTTTTTTTTTGCACGTAAGTCATTAATTTTAGCAAGTTCATGCATTCCCTGGGAATCGAACCCATGACCTTGGTGTTAATAGTATAATGTGCTATTGCCTGAGCTACAGGACCCCTACTTCAATAAAAAAAAAAATAAATAAAAAAATACATCTCACACATGACACTGCATTCTAAAAAATTGGTACCCAAAATAAGTTCAACTTTTAATAACACATCTCTAGAGTAGACCATCCTTTGTTTTTCATTCCACTTTTTTTGCATTCTTGCAGATCAATAAACAAAAAAAATGCAACTTGCAACACAGAGTATGTGGGGTTTCATTTATGAATCAATCATGTTTTGAATGAATTGATTGAGTAACTAATTCAATGACTCCCTCATAAAATGTCACTTGTTTTGATTGATTGATTCAAATGACTCACACATAAAGAAAGCCACTTGTCAACAACTGGCATAACAATGTAACCTGTTAAAAGCATAATCAGGTTCAAGGACAAGAACTAACTGGTGTGTAATTAATAATATTCATATAGTTGCATTGAAGTGCAATATGACAAATTTTACCCACATATGAATTCAAAATTGTGTAGCTAGAAACATTTAACGTAATTGCTTAGAGCATGTTTCTGGCCTTTCAGAATGCCTTACGTTTCCTATCAGTTTGTGGATTCCCTGGGAATCAAACCCATGACCTTACCATTGCTAGTGCAATATGCTACTGGAAATGCTAATGCAAATGCCTCAAATGTGTTCTGATTCACACTAATATCTTTGTACATTATTATCATAATCTATAAGGAACTTGTTTATTGATGTGATAATATTGTCATTCTAATCTCAGTTGTTTATTATGACTCACAGATGTGGACTTAAAATAAACATTAGTAGGTAACAAGGGTCACGCTCAGGCAGGGGGTGGGCGGCATTTATTTCCAGGCATACGTGACGTCCCATATTCACACTGTCCTGCAGTAAGTCACCTCACGCTGAGCATACATACCCCTGAGTCCTGTTAACCCACCTCCGGCTACCCGTGGATCAGTTGGGACACACACACACACTCCGGCAAGAAGCCTCCATGCATTATTGAAATACGGGAGAGAACACTAGCATTTCCACCCACTCTGATTAATTTAATGCTCTCTTTAAGTCCAAGATTAGGCTCTGGCATAGGTCGTAATTAAATATTGAAAATACAAAAGTGCAAGAATATTCAATTCTTTTTAAAGAAATCAGAGTTTTAATTTACCTCATGCGGTGGCGGCCTCAGTCACCTGCAGAGAGAGAATCCACACCGCATCACCAGATGCATGAAGCCTGGCTTGGCAAGGCCGTGCCTTTAAATTGAGCCCCCCGTTCCAATTTATAGAACAGGAGTCAAATATTTATCCAGTTGATGAGGCAAACGCAGCGTGCTGCACTGACAATAATTAAAATCCGGCCCAGACAAAGGTGAACACCTGATCATTTCTAATAGTTTGTATTCGCGTGGTCAGGCCTGGCGCAGTTGATTTCGGTAGCTGCCTACTAGAAGTGTGAAGAAGTCTGAAGTGTATTTACACTACGGTAAACACAGCATGTTGGGCCCAACATTTGTCAGAGCAAATGTGTCCATGTGGTTTGCTGTTATTAAACTATTTAAATCGTACAGGCTATTTATCACCCACTTAAGAGCAGAGCTTTGGAGCGACTCTCAGTAAGAGGAGGATGGGTCTTTCATCTTATTGCTCTTTTTATTTCCTCTCCTCCTCTTCAGAATGTGAAGAACATCTTTGACTTCAGTACAGCTGGTGGCCTAGACTGGTGCTGTACAGTACGTGTGCCCAGAGAAAACCTAGATTTTATACATATACATAAATATAAAAAATTAACATGTTATTCAAATATTTATAGATACATGCCCAAAAATAGGCACGATGTTCTTTAATTGAATTTATTCTTTTGGGTGTTGGTATATACACGTTTATTAATGTGAGCTCTCATCTAATAATTCTTTGTTCTGTCTTTGTATAAGTGAGAGTGCTTTCTCTTCAAATAAACATTTGAAACATCAGGCTGTATGTATCTTAAATATATTTCTGAACTTTTTGGCGGCGTACAGTTAAACATGTCCTTCTAAATGTCATGTCTAAGCCAGGGACTGGCTGCATCATGGCATGGCACGAGAGATGCGTGTTAAAACGAGGATGCCACAAATCACAGATCAAAGTTGTCTAATTATGTAAATCATGAATTCTCCAAATGTCAGCATTAGGAAAAAGGATTAGGATTTGCCATGGTAAATGATAAATTATCTATCAAGCAGACGAATCAACAAAAATGCAGCTAATGTAACACATATTTGGCCTCCACAGTTTGAGAGAGGTGGGTATGTTATCAAATAAACAGTGAAATTGATTTAATTACATTTTAATGGTGAAAAAGCAAATACCACCAGTGAATTTAAAGTGGTTCTTCTGTTAGCCTTTGAGAAACCTGTGAAATTTGATCTAAGAGGGTTCCCAGGAATAGATGCTGTACCTCTAAACAGACACTACACATGACCAAACAGCTGTTGAGATGTTATCGGATTGTGTGTGTCTGTGCTATCTGGCATTTATCTCCTGGTCATGGTGACAGCGGAATGTAAATTTGGCAAAGCACACTGCACAGATGGCAACGGCAGCCAAGAATCTGACCCATTTTCCCAGTTTCTCTAAACGACAGGCCACCCTGCTGCAGACACGGAGCGCTGGGCTTATGAGACCATCATGTTCATTGATTTCTTGTATTGATGTCCAGCCAACAACAAATAAAACACAAACTAATAACACAATCATGACTGCTAACCCATGACACTAAGGGTCGGTCAAATTTATGAGGGCATATGAAATAACCCTTTTAGGATGTGTGTGCGTATCAGAGTCAACTCATCAGATTTATGAAATATGTTAAGAAGGAAGCTGATGTCACTGATGTCTACTACAGATACTGATGTTTTGAAACATACTTAAAAGTTACTTAAGGAGGCAGTGTGTATTTATATATAAAAATTATTATCAATATAATTTATTAGAGCTGTATTTTTGTTGAGAAACAATTGTGGGTTTTGGCTAAATGAATAATTAGGGTTAGAGTACTAAACTTGAACAGATAAGATGATACTAAATACAACAACTAATTTACATTAACGACTCAAAAACATAATACTCATTTCGGTTAATCATTTTTGTGATTCAGTTCATTTACATGTACATGTACTGTCTTAACGAAACGACTCGGAATCAATCGAACTTTCCAATGCTACATATGAGAGCGAAAGGATTCTTTAGGACAAAGTTGATTCACTTGACTGAATTGAATGTGAAATGTGAGAACGAACCAATCTGGATTGAATCAGACTTTCGAATGATGCGACAGGGGACTGTTTCGGACGAGCCGATTCTCTAGAATGAATCGGAATTTCTAACGCTACACATGAGACAGAATCATTTAGGACAAACCAATTAATTATAATGAATCTGAAGCAAAATATGAGAGAGGGGGCAATATTTGATTCTCCAGCATTACCATCATATGAAATAATGAGCTTTAGAATGAATAAGTTAGAATGAGTCATTTAGGACTAATCGATTCACTAAAATGAACTGGACGCGAAACATGAGAGAGGGGACCATTTAATTTATTTTTAACCATTTATTTTTCAATACAAAATAGGAGAGGAAAGATCATTTATTACGAATCGATTCACTAGAATGAATCTGGCTTTCCATCACTACATAAACAGTGAAAAAAAATTGAGAGAGAGGACCATTTGGGTGAGTGTGTTTGATTATTCCTTTCTCTCAGATATTAAAATCACTTATTGTTATGAATGAATGAATGAATAAATAAATGAGGTACAAAAGGCAGCACTTAAAAATACTTTTTGTAAATAAAATCATTTTTTAGTCAATGTGATCAAACAAAATCAGTATCATAACCGACTTTATTTACTACATGATCAGTCCATAAATAAAGAACATATGGTCGGACAGCTCTACATAAGCCTGTACTTTAGTGTTAATAAGAAATTCAGGCCTGTGTGATTGCACCTGGTCTGTCTGTTCTAAAATTCTTGAAATCCACTGTAGCATCATGAATAAAAAAATCATCCCCTCTTGCCTGCAGGTCTGCGGTGTTACTCACCTCCACGCAAAACACACCGGAATAAACTTGAGACAGAACAAAACATTCGATATTACACCCTACTTGCATATCATTAGCAGAGCAGGGACCACCACCCCCTATGGGTTACTGGCTTATAAATATATTTAAATATATAAATATCATGAATACATTCATTGATATTGCCCTCACATCCTCTAAAATGCATTGCTGCCATTGTATAGCTATTTCTCCTGGGAATGAAATGACATATTTGCAGAATCTCAATCAGACACGTACACATTTACACACAAAAAGCACTGAACGAAAAGTTGCTGGTGTGTTTTTCTACTTTTATCATCCTCATGCTGGAATCTGACTTAAACCACTCTTCTGTTTTTGCGGTTCACAGGACAGAGCGATTACATCAGCGTCTTCAAGCCTGAAGACGTGAGCATGGCTCGGGGCGAACACCTGGCTGTGTTTACAGCGGTGGTTGAAGGGCAAAGCGTGTATGTGTGTAGCGGAGAGATACACAGCCACTCTGATCGGCTCCTTCGCAACCTCAGAGAAGCCCTCAGAAACTCTTATCACATGCGATTAATATTACAACCCTTCAGTTATGAGACAAGAGGCCACCTACGTTTCCAATAAGGCGTCTAGTTTAGCGCTGCTGGCCTGTGTCTCGCTGTTTTGAAGAGAGTGAAATGTGTCACCCTTCCTGTCTCAGACTCAACCGCTTGATGCGCAATATCCTGGAGATTTAATGTCTAGTCAACAAACAATGACCTTTTCATAGCTATTTTGTTAGTACATGATTCATCGGTGCACATTATTATTTCAAAAAGTGCTAATTGTTCTTAAAAACTAAAAATGAATGTTAAATTAATATTATGATTAAATGTCATAATTTTTACATAAATAAAAAATGCATTGCTTCTATGTCTTGAACTGTTTACCAAAACATAATGATTTGCTCCTCCCCTAATTCAACTTTCATTTTCAATTGACATCACTTTTTCATCCAGTAATCTTATAAAAACACTTTCAAAATTCAGTCTGTTTCCGGTGAATAAAATCAGGGCTTGTTTGACTTTTTTTGTTTGTTTTGTTTTTAGTCACAAAAGAACTACAATTAGAAGAAAACAGTTGTGTGTATATATATATATATACACACAAACACACACACACACACAAAATCTGCACAGAAATGCAAATATCAGCATCTCAAATATTTTCCTATCTGTATCTACAGTCAATATAACCTTTAATAACAATTTTTTGACATTAGTGCCGTGAAACAACTTTAGTTATATAATGCACCAAGTTGAAATGTAAGTACAGCAATTGTAATTACATAATTACTCATATTATTTTGTTTTGCACAAAAAAATCTACCTTAAGACCTGTAATATAATGCACAAGTCATATGGACTACTTTCCTGTTTTTTTTGTTGTTGTTTTTTTGACAGATTTTGGAGATTGAATGGCCTATATGCTTTCATTGTATGCAAAGAGCATTCTCAATTCCACTGAAGAGAGTCATAAGTAAATGATGAGTTTTCATTTTTAAGTGAACTTCTCCTTTAAGGACAGCTTATTAAGAACACTTTCTTGTAAGTGACAAGTCTGTTGACCCCTGTGTGACCTTGCTATCTCAGCATGTCATGTGACCATGATTCATCCAATCCTTCGCCAGCTTTCATCATTGCTTGTTGCTAGCACATTGCTGCCGTGCTCCACTTAGCCAATTAACAGTAAAATAAAGCCAAACAGATTTGAGCTGATAAATCTTTAATGGTACGAGGGATTTTACACAAATGCACACTTGACAGTGCTAATTTAAAATAAATACTGAGCTTGATTAAAAATTCCCCCGGCTGATGGAAGATAAATGTTTAAATAATTTATCAGATTTAATTGACATGACTGTGATGTTGTAAACAGAAATGTTTTGATGTTCTTAATGTAATTTGACACCATGGCTTCTTGGGCCCCATCCAAGAGAGAAAGGCAGCAAAAAAAGTGAGACGACTGCGAAAGTGGTAAAGGGACGTGTGTGTATGTATGCATGCAAATGTGTACGTGTGTGTGTGTGTGTAGCTGTCTGATTCAAACACTAGCTATGCACTGTGTAAATGAACTTTTGCTCATCTGTATTTACATATTACAGAGTTAGAGTGTAAGCTGTACTGCCATTGGGCATTTTATAATGAGTAATTATGAGAAAAAAGATGAAAGGATAGGGAGAAAAGGAATAAGGGAAGGAGGGTAAATCAGATGAAAAGAGACGAGAAGAGCATTGCAGTCTAAAAGCTCAAACAATAAAGCATGGTGCTAGCAACTTCGAGGTTATTGGTTCGATTCTCAGGGAATGTGTGAACTAATGTATACTTGAAATGCAATACAGGTTGCTTTGGATAAAAGTGTCTTTTAAATGCATAAATATAAAAAGAATAGTGAGGTGAGATTAGAGGAGAAACAGATTGGCATAAAGGAAATCTCTTTAAATACAAATAGCAACCCCGAGGTTATGGGTTTGATTCCCAGGGAATGTGTGAACTCATATAATTTATACAGTACTTTAAATGCAGAATAAGTTGCATTGGATAAAAGCACCTGCTTAATTCATACAGTAAATAAAAGAATAGTGAGGTCAGAATGAGAGGAGAAACATAAAGGAGCATAAAGGAATTCTCTTTAAGTACAACTAATAACCTCTCATTCTCAAGTTCTGGGTCCAAGGTTTTGGGTTCGATTCCCAGGGAATGCATGAACTGATCAAATTAATGCAATATAGGTTGCTTTGGATAAAATACTACTACTAATAATAATGAGGTGAGAATGAGAGTTGAATCAGATGAGCATAAAGGAATTCTATTTGAACACAACTAGCAACACTAAAGCTGTAGGTTTGATTCCCAGGGAATGCATGAATTGAATAAATGTAAACTTTAAATGCGATCACTTAATTTGGATAAAAGTGCCTACTAAATGCATAAATGTAAAAAATCTGAGAGGAGAAACAGATGAGCATAAAGAAATTTTCTTTTAATACAACTAGCAACCACAAGGTTATGGGTTTGGTTACCAAAGAATGCATGAATTAATAAATTGTACGCAATAAATAAATGTAAGTTTCTTTGGATAAACGTGTCTGCTAAATGCATGAATGTAAAAACAAATGGTGAAGCAGGAATGAGAGGAGAAACAGATGAGCAAAAAGGAATTCAGCCTCACCCTGGAAAACTGACACTAAACAAACATGTAAATACAGCAAGACATTCATTGTCAACATGAGCACATCTACTCACTGTCATCCAGCAGGGCAGGCCGCGGGGGAGGATGTGACATGAAACTTCCTGAGACGCTGATCTCAAACCCACGAGTGGCATGTCAACCAGCTCCCATCCCAGATAAGACTCATCGGAATGCCGGTAGAACGGCTTCAGAATCTCCGCCAAGCAAACATCTCATCTATAAACAAACACTCTCACTCACCACCCTAAATGAATACATCAAAATTTGATGGAGCGGCCATGTTGCAGATCCATGACCCACAGCGAGACACGCCATGATACAATGTATACCAGCATACATGAATAGATAAAGATGTTTTTGGGATTTGACACAGGCACGACAGGGAAACACAAAGGCATGCATGCTAACCCAAGCATTCTGACCCAGTAAACAGAGAAGATTTGAGAGGTGGAGTACACAATCTCAGTTTCAAAGCCGTACAAATCACATCAAGTTTACTGAAAATGCAGGCGTTTTTCGTTCTCGTAACACGCAGCAACTGCACGAAAGAGCGTCTGCTTTGTGCTGACATTTCAACGCAAGATAGTTTATTGTGCCCTGTCGCCCCGCACATCAAAGGCAGACGTCACCTTTAAATGAAGTCGCCCAAGTGGCGGAGCTTTTTATTAACTTCCAATCAATAAACATGCAGTCGGGGCGAGAGGTAATCAGGAAACACTGCCAAATAAACTGACAATGAATCAAAGCCGCTGCTCGGAGGCAACAGCAAAATCCTAACAAGCAGTTTATTACCGGTAGCTGTTACTGACATTAGTCAAAACCAAGAAAGATAAAATAGAATAAGGAATGTGATGCTGGGAAAGCGCCCACGGGCTGCGTGTTCCTCGCATGCTCTTGATAACTGCACGCCTCCTCTTTGATATGATAGCAAATATAAATTGTTTAAAAACATCAAATGCATGGGAAGTCAGGGCCCACACTTCTATGGAACAGATGCAGTGGCGGACGAAAAACTCAAGGTGCTGAAAGTTTGTCTATATGGGGCGATTAGCTGCTTTTCTGCAAAAGTTTCCTTTTGTTTTTAACAGAACCTCAACAACTGGTCTAGAATTGCTTTCTCAAACCAATCGACATTTACTAAATGCATAAATGTAAAAGATAGTGAGGTGAGAATGAGAGGAGAATCAGATGAACATAAAGAAATCCTCTTTAAACACAACTAGTTACCCCAAGGTTATAGGTTCGATTCCCAGGGAATGCGTGCACTAATAAACTCTAAACTTTAAATGCAATAATTTGCTTTGGATAAAAGTGCCTACTAAACGCATACATGTAGAAAACATAAGGAAGCAACAGATGAGCATAACTAAATTCTCTTTAAACATAACTAGCAACCAAGTTTATGGGTTCGATTCCCAGAGAACACGTGAACTAATAAACAGTAAACTTTAAAAGCTATCATTTGCATTCAATAAAATCGCCTACTAAATGTAAAAAAGATGAGAGGAGAAACAGATGAGCATAACGAAATTCTCTTTAAACACAACTAGCAACCAAGGTTATGGGTTCGATTCCCAGAGAACACGAGAACTAATAAACTGTAAACGTTAAAAGCAATCATTTGCTTTGAATAAAAGTGCCTGCTAAATGCATAAATGTAAAAAAGATGTTAGGAGAAACAGATAAGTATGCACAACTAGCAACCCCAAGGTTATGGGTTCGATTCCCAGATAATAAAAAAATAAATAAAAAAGATGAGAGTTGAAGCGGATGACTGCTAGGGTGTTCTGGGCACTTGCTATAGCATTGCTAGGTGGCTTGTTAGGGTTTTAGGAGTTTGTTCAAATCACTAAGCCTCAGTATCAACAATAATAATAGTGATGCATGTCTTAGCAAACACAAATTTAAATCGTCAGCCGTACACTGTAAAATTAAGGGTTGTTGAGTGCCCGGTTTTAGCAGACATCAGTTCAACAAGTCCATAAGTTCTCTATACATTCTGGCATAAGGTATGAGTATCTCTGCTGGTGTGTCAGACAGCGTGAAGGGCTTGTAAAACTTACTCCAGGTTTAACATCAGGTGAAGAAGCAGCTTGAGCAAGCCTGCTCTTGTTCCGGAGTTTGTTGTTTCAATCCCGGGCTAAACTGAAGCAGGAGTTATTAAAGGGCTGTACGGCGGATAGTGTGTGTGTGTGATCCATATGCCTCTGGTATACTAAGAAGATGCTACTGAGAAAAAAAAAAAATCTCATCCAAATAATTTTCTTGCCCTACAGGCAGTTACATGCAAATAAGAGATCAAAAGCATGTTGGATGAAAAAAAAGGCAGATTGGTGTGAATATCATCAGGCAGTGGACTACATGCACTGGAGAAAAATGATGCTGATGCTTACTGACCATGTACAGAGAGAGAGAGAGAGAGAGAGAGAGAGAGAGAGAGAGGCAGCTCACATGAAACTACAGCATCTTTGATCAGCACATACACGGACACCACTTTTCCTCGATGTAGGTTCAGCATCCCAAAGAAAGGATGTGAGACTTTTGAAAACGCACTCACACTCATATAAATGCTAACCTAAATGAGCACATATTAAAGACTTCTATTGCTTTCATTTAAAGCTAATAGCTACTAAACAAGGCTGTAAAGGACAGAAGTACATTTCATTCAGTTGATTATAATATAATAATATACAAATAACTATACAAAATAAGAACTTACACCCATAAAATAGAATACAATAGAATTCCTGCAACATTTAAATACAAAAAAATGTAAACATTAGTAAATATATAAAAAGTAAATATATAAAAATAAATTTATATTAAATAATTTAATTCCTACAGGGACAATTTGTTAAAAAGCATCTTCACAATACAAATATATATAAAACAATACATATTATCTGATGATGGTCAATATATTTTTTTTAATTAAAGTTCAGAAAGAAAAAAAGGTTCAAGAATATGTAATTTCACTCTCTATTAAATCGTTAAAACTACTATCACTCACAGCATCAACTGTTCAAAAAAAAAAGTGGTGTCTAAACGGACTGGGGTCTATAATGTTGACATAATAATAATAATAATAATAATAAGAAGAAATATTATTTATGAATCATTTTTACAATTAAAAATGTTCTGGGCTGCGTTTCCCAAAAGCATCGTAAGCTTAAGTACATCGTAGACCCATTGACACCAATGAAGCTATGATCAACTTAGGCTTACGATGCTTTTGGGAAATGCAGCCCTGGATGTTCTTAAAGAGAGTTTCTGACATATTTAGTGGTCTTAAGAGGACAATATTGTCTCTAAAGTATACCTCAAAATATGTTAAGCTAAATCTGGTGATGATAACTATAGCTGCTGTTAACACACTCTTTTTCTCTCACACACCTGCAAGAAAAACGCATGCATTCAAATTATGTAACACTTACAATAGACACATTTAAGGCAAATAAATCTGATCATACGTTTTGTAAATTTTAAATCACAGACATATTAATTTTTTTTAGCAATTTGATTTTGAATTTTTATTTTATGTATTCTTATTTTTTTTTCTGTTTAGTGTTAGAGTTTGTAGGTTTTCAGCACAACTGATGAGCAGATGAGAACTGGCCTCAAACACTGCATTGCTGTGGCTATTGGTCCATGTTAATGGTCCATAAAACATGGCCTTGACCAGAGGTCACTGTAAATTCCATTACAGCATCTTTAAGGACTTTCTAATATTTGCATATTTAATATCTGTTAAATATTTACACATTTAAATAGCCAAATATATATGAAAACTACACCTGATAAAAACGATTCAGCTCCAAAATCATGATTAATTGTGCTCTAAGAGTGTTTTTTAATTGAAAGATTTCTGCATGTATAATTTAATAAGATGTACATTTGAAATCGTATTAATGTGATGTTCTAGGGTATGCATTCAGACGCCAAAAAAAATGAGTTAATTTTACTGGAGAATAGATATTTGCTTTAATCTCTAAGGAGTCGTGCCATTTAAATCCTCCAGTCATGGCGTGTGAATGCCAGCTATCCAGAGCGGCGCGAGAGAGAGGCTTCATCCGGCTGGATTAGAGACACATGCAAACACACGGCTGCATTTTTAACACTGGTCAGCAGAAGCATTGAAAGCAATCCCCGCTGGAAGAGAACGGAAGGCTTCTCCTTTGAACATAAAGCTTTAATCCTGTCTTTTTCACCCTCTCTTTCTCTCTCGCCGCACCTTTCCGTGCCTCATTATTGCCAATCATTTGAATGCGAGTGCCCTCTGTCACCTACTCTGTAATCTGATTACTTCATGCAAGAATTAGTATGTATATTTAATGCAGGATTTTCTTTTTTTTTATCCCTCTCTTCTCAATCTTGATGAATGCAAGGGCGAGGAGCGCGGCTGCCAGCGTCATGCTAATAAATGACAGCTGATTTATGCATCTGTATTCTTTTATTTATAAAAAATAGCAAGCCGTCCGATATTCCGATATTAATAATACAAGTGGATCCACTTTGATTAGGCCAGCGCAGCGAGCTGTGCATATTCAGCATTACAATTAAATCTTCTGATGTGAAATAGGAATGACACGCTAATGAAGCGAGCCAGCGAGCCTGAACCAAGACTGTCCAACATCATTATGGGATATCTTAGATGAAGAGTAATTACGCACGGAACACTGAAATGTCATAAAAAATCTTCAGTAAGTGATTTAACCCACTATTCCTCACTAATGCCAGACTGTTTTTTTCTCCTATTTCCCCCTCCACTCCAGGCCGAGGCCGAACAGAAAGTTCATCTTCAGAAGTTCTGGATGAAGGGGGAAAAAATAATATGCAGGGACTTAAGAGAGTGATACAATCGAGTGTCCTAATTTAATTTTAATTCGGTGCGTCGGTACTCTATACTGGTGGTAGGTAATTGAAATCATTCTTTAATAAATTCTGATGAATTGGCAATTAGGTCGTGGTCTGTTTCCCGAGGTCGGCCTGAAATTGATAGCGCTGGTCCGTGAGCGATATTACTCAGGACTTTTTGAATATCAAATCTCATATTGTGATATAGATATGCGTTTAATAGATGTTCATTTATTTGATTAGACGCTTAATCTGATTTCTGTCTGATTTGCAGCAAGGTCTGAAATCCCCCTGGACCATAAAAATGTAAAATGTATATGTTATTAAAAGAACATGATTCAAAACAACTGTGCAAAAACTTCTGACCAGTATATGAATATAATTATGTGTCTGATGAAAATACACAATATAAAAATGATCAGTGCATGTACGTCAGCAAGTGTTTATGACTTTCATTATTTTTTTTCTTTACTTGGAAGTTTTGTGTAAAAATAATATCAATCCTCCTCACTTTTAATTATCACTGTGAATTTTTGTGCTATATAAATAAACTATGCTTTTTTTTACATTTCTCTTAATTTCATCAATGCTTGTTGTTAACCCCTACATGAAATTACATTTCATCATTATGAACGGCCATCATGCAAACAGTTTTATCCTATTTACTTTTAGCCTGCACAATAATTCTCGCATTTGAATCCAAATGGTGGTCCGCATCTTTAAGTGGCTCAGTGATCTGTGATATAATGTGTCGGGGGTTTTGTGGCGAGGCAGAAAAGCAAATCAGTAATGGGGCCATCGTCAGCTGAGAGCAAGAGACGGGGTGAACACCAGCAACCCTGAGGAGGAGAGACAGAGAGAGAGACAGATAGACAGAGAGTGAGCCGTCCAACCCAAACGTGCCTTGCAGCCATGCAATTATTTTCTGCAGTGTGTTCCAATATCAACTCGAGAGCAATGCAAATTATTTAAGACACACTTTTTTAGGAGCTGCAATTATAATAATGATGATCTCAATTAGCGTTGCCATTGCCTCGGACTATTTAGCAGCCGATTCTGCAGCCGCAGGCGAGTCCCCATTGCAGGAACACAATGTCAGGGCTGAGTGGAGAGGGTCGCTTTTGGCCTCTGAATCTCTAAACCTAATCTTGATATATTTTCTTTTTCACAATAGCACATCATTTTTGACACTTTTTGCTAAGAGACAACCAAATTAGGCTGTTGTATATGCAGACTGTCATATTAAAGATGCAGTTGACTATCATACACAATCATTTAAACAGGCCTCTTAGTTTATAGAAACAAACTAAATCACATATGGAGTAATGCACTGAATGTTAAAATACACTGTTGTGAAAATATACATTAAATTGCTAACATGACACTAATTTGATAAAATCATTTACCTTAGCATGTCTGTTTAAGGTTATATCACATTTATCAACTTAGTTTTACCATTTTAAGTCGGTTAAACACTAACTTTGTGTGCATGATGTGCAAAATGGGACTTTTACATTCACTTCCATGTTCATCCGCCGAGAAAAATAGTACTACTATAATAAACATTTGATTTGTGCATTTAATACTTAATATATGTGTGTTAACAAAACTGGGAGCTCACTTTTATGCTTTTAAACACCGCAGAAAGTATCACTCCACAGACTTCCATTGCAAGTGCAAAAAATGTCTGTAGTGTGAAGAACAGGATGTGAAATAAGATAATTTAACACCCATGTGCATATTTGTCTTAAAAGTACAGTGCAAATTTTTTTTTCAATGTTAAAGGAATAGTTCATCCAAAAATGAAAATGTAATGGAAATGTACTCACCCCCAGGCCATTCCAGATGTAGATAAGTTTATTTCCTTCATTGTAACAGACTTTGAGAAATGTAGCATTACTTCACTTGTTCACCAGTGGATCCTCTGCAGTGAATGGGTGCCATCAGAATGAGAGTCCAAACAGCTGATAAAATCATCACAATAATCCACAACATGACTCCACTCCATCAATTAGCAACTTGTAGCATTAAAAGTTGTATGTTGCTATGATGTGCACAAGAAAACCATAAAGGGACTTTTCACATTCACTTACATGTTCATCCACCTAGAAAAATAGTTTCTAAATAGTAAAAATAGTACCACTGCTAAATGACTTAGACAACTTAAAGCTTGTATAATAAACATTATTGCGCATAATATTTAATATAAGTGCTTTAACAAAAATATCAGCACACTTTATGCTATTAAACACTGCAGAATATCTCATCCCATAGACTTCAATTGCAAATGCTTTATAAATAATTATTATAGATAAATATTATCTATCTATCTATCTATATACATATA